CTTTGCCCTTGGATGAACATCAGCTACGCAGAGGTTTACCATTGGATGAAGAAGAGCGGATGGATCAGCTTGCAGCTTGCAGCCATTGAACAGGCCATTGATAGGTCTTCAACAGAAAAATGAAACGGAAACAGACGTCATCAACACTTCTCCACGAAGTCTCAACGACACCTCAACGAAGTCTCAACGAAGTCTCAACGAAATGTCAACGAAGTCTCAACGAAGTCTCAACGAAAGCTCAACGAAACCTCAACAAAATCTCAGGCTATCATAATCATTGTTGACCCATAGCTGTCAAACAGAGAGAGGTGTTTGGTCGGCTTTCGCACCCGCCTCTCCCCAGTCGAGTCGAGTCGAGTTTAAGTCTGCTTGATATCAACTGCCTGAGGGGCCGACGTCCAACGTGCCTCGACTCCGCCGCAGTAGATCAACGGCTCGAAATGAGGAGCAATCCCCGCCGGACAAGTGCAACCTTGGCCCAACTGTCAGAAGCACCTCACCTGTACCTGAGAGCGCCTTAATTAAGGAAAACAGTCCTTAATTATTACGCATTAAACTTGTCCATGTCATCCTTGATCATCCCGAGGCTTAATCATCACTCGCCAATTTGTGCACATCACCCTACTCAATTGTTTTGCCGGATCGGTCCAATTCCAATTACATGTGCATGCATCACGCGGATGGCCCCTCCAAAACTTGGCGCCAGGTTAATCTCCTCTCTCTATCGTTCCATTTCCAATTCTCATTATAACATCCCCGCTACACGTCCCCGCTCCCGCCATAGCCATCAGCTCCCCCTCCACCCCGGCCATAGCCATCAGCCCCCCCCCGCTCCCGCCATAGCCATCAGCTCCCCCCGTTGCCGCCATAACATCCCGGCGGCTACACGGCGATGTCACGAACGACGTGGATCAAGCAAGCGTCAACCACTTACACGTTCCAGCTCCTGCCATAGCCATCGGGTCAATTGCAACATGTACATGGATGCCTGAGAAGGGGGAAAGAAGAGGGGTTCTTCACTCAAAATCTTTATCAAATTGGGAGAAGAGCAATCTTATGGGCTCTCTGGCACAGACGATGTACGAATGAGATGGATGGAGTTAGGCTGGAAGGCCCTGAATCCACAGATTCAATAAAGCAACAGATTCAAACAGAGATATTGACTCAATGGGATAAAGTCAAAGAAAAGATTCAACATCTTTCGACCCAATCAGAAATTGACCGTCACATTCAACAATTCARCAGSGACTGGCTGGGGGGTACCAAGGAAGGAAAGATGGGAGTGATAAAGTGGAAGGAAGTGAAAAGAGCRAAGGCGAAGAGGGGGCAACCAGAATCCAGAAGGATCTATCAATTACATTTTCTTGACTGGACTAATGTGGATCCTGCGATCCYGCTAAGACCATTATCAGACTTCCCTGATCCATTTCCACTATCATCTTTGTGCTTAGTTCCTTTGAGTTGGTATGGTGTGGATTAGCTAGGTTTTTTCTTGAACCTAGGAATTGTTTCTGRTGCTAATGTAGAAAGATAATATCTGGCGCCCCTAGAAGGGGGTTTTCTTGAACCTAGGAATAGTTTMTGGTGCTAGGGTRGAAAGACAATATCTGGCGCCCCTAGAASGGGGGTGAAGAGGTACCAACTTTTTCCTATTYATTCTGTTWAAGGGWCGCTGGACCCGGTTTCCAGCAGGTGCAGCTCCCCACCAATAGAATGGAGCCATACTAGGAGCCTATCATCAGGGGATGCTCGTATCACCTCTGATGGCAGGCGCCAGTAGTTTAAAAAAAAAAAAAGAAAAAAAAAAACCGCAATTTCGGCCACAACTGTATGCATCTGGCAGCAATTCCGTCCAGACTAACCTGGTGGTGCTCATACCACCCCAGGTTAGTGGCGGTATCGTTGATTTGTTAAAAAAAAAAAAAAAAAAAAAAAAGTCCTAGTGTGAGTATGCCCTAAGAGGCACCGACTCGCCCCTCAATCGTCATTACCTATGGTTACGGTGAATAACTATTTTCTTCCGTTTTTCCTTACCGTAGTCCGTGCTAGCGAATCTCTGTCATAAGCAGGGTCAGACCGAAACTCCATACCATATTCGAAATGAAAATCAAAATTAGAAAATATTTATTTTTTTCTATGTTTCGAGTTTTTATTTCTCCCTGGCCACTCTTTTCTATATATATACATATATATATATAGCCCTAGCGAATCTCGGTCATAAGCAAAAGCCGTAAGTCACGTGAGAGATTCCAGACTATTAGTGACAGATTCCACACGAGCTCCCTTGAAGTGGCAATTTTGTTTGTTTGTTTGTTTGTTTGTTTGTTTGTTTTTTGCAATTTTGTTTTCGTTTTGTGAAAAGTGGCAACTTTAGAGATCATGCGCCGGGAGCTCGGCCCCTCTTTCCATCTGAACAACCGCTGGATTTTTTTACAATCCACGTCTTTGGAGTCGCAAAGATGTCGCTACTAAACGCAACCCTTGCATGTGCACACGGGAGGGGCGGGAGGTTTGGTTTACTATGGTCAAAAAAGTGTCATAGCTAACTAAACGCCCTAATTCCTCATAGGTAGTCTGTCGGCGGGCAGAATAGGCCTTAGCATGAAGCACTGACCTCGGGAAGAGGCAGGGATATTTACGCAACTCAACAGGGGCCAGGTCCGACTTGCAAAGAGGATCCGAGTAAGCTCCGGAATCTGGACATGTCTTGAGAAGAGGTGCAGAAAAGAAGAGGTGCAGAAAAGAAGAGGTGCAGAAAAGCAGTTCAATCCCGATTTTCTGCATCTTTCTGGCGGAGAAGTCTAGATTCAGGCATTCGATCCAATTCTATTTGGTAGTGGGACTTCGCCCCAGATGTAGCAATTCGAGGACCCGTCATGCTGGCTGATGGCCCTCCTGCCGTGCCGATCGGACGGCGTCAAAAGCCTCCCAGTACTGACAGCAGAATTTTCCTGCCCACCGTGCTGTCGCCCAGCCTCATTTTCTGCTACTAAACCTTGCATGTGGGCCGAGGCCCCGGCTTTGGGCCTCATTCCACTACCCTCGACTTGAAAAAAATCTCAAGGGCAGCCCTACAGGCGCCCTTGAGCCAAAACGTAATTAAAAAATACTGGAGGTCTTCTTCGTTCCACTACACCCTGCAGTTCCCGCTCGTCGCAGGAGCGGGAAAATGTGCGCCCCTGTTCTTTAGGGAATTTTCCTCCTTGTAGGCGATTGTGACTCGAATTTCAGTTCGCTGCCTGCGCCGGACCGGGGGGCTGAATTGCCTGGGGGCGCATGTTGGCGCCGTTTTCAAGGAACGTAGAGGAAAACCCAGTCGGCCGTGGGAGGTGACTTGAAATTTGCCTGCAGACCCTACGGCCTCCCTTCAGTTTCGGAGCGGGAGTTTAACCAGGCGGGAACCCTAATCACTTTACAATAGTGATTAGCAAATCTCAAGGGCCTAGTGGAACGGCGCCGCCCTTGAGATTTTTCCAAGTCGAGGGTAGTGGAATGAGGCCCTTTCTCTACCCTTGAAGTCGTCGATGACGCGGCAACGACCGTACGTAGTGAGCATGGTGTTTGTTGGCGGCTCCGTACTGAGGGCCTCGTTCGACACCACTAGAAAACCCTTACATGTAAGGGTTTTCATCGTTCCACCTCTCCCTAATGACGAAAAAAAAGATGCGAAATTTGTTTTCACATTCGCTGGCGTAAGGCATCTGTCTCAAGGTGTCGCATTTTTTACGGAGGGCGACCAGGATGCAAAGTGGGTTCTTAGGGGGCAAAAAAAGTGGGGGAACCAGGACTTTTGGAAAAATGAAGGACCGGTCCTCGGGTGGAAGTGGACCCCTAAAAGAAGTGGGGGGCGTTGGACAGGTCCACGGGTGGAAGCGGACCCCAAAACAAAGTGAGGGCATGTGAACTGCAAAAGGGCCCTCAGGCCCAGGCGTTGAAGCCCGTCTTCTCAAAACAGGGAGGTCAGGCCGAACAAAACAGACGTTTTGCAAGTGGCACATTTGACAATTTTCTGTGCTCGGAGAAACCCGCAGAAAAATCTGAAATTTTGAGAATCCATAGATGAGGTCGTGTTCTTTCTAGGAAAAATATTAGAACATTAAAAAAAAATCATTTAGACCGAGAATTAATCATCGCGCCGATTCGGCACATTTTCCCTTTTTGCCACTCAGCCATGTGTGGGCCAACTTAAAAAGTACTCCAAATTCAGTGAGTTTTCACTCTCAGAAGAACGTGTGAAAAACCCTGAAAATTGGAGTACTTGTAGATTTTGTTGTGATCTTTCCAGGAAAAGCGCTAAATAAATTTGAGAAAATCATTCCGACTGCTTAATAGACTGCGGCCGCAATTTGACCCATATTTCAATTTTGACATTCAGCCCCTCTCTCTCTCTCTCTCTCTCTCTCTCTCTCTCT